CGTATTTTCAGAGTTGAGAGAGAGAGAGAGAGAGAGAGAGAGAGAGAGAGTCGAATGAGAATCAATGAGAGTGAGATCTCAATTGCATCTAACGGCTAGAGATAAGGCTACAGACAATTAAATGGAAATAAGGCTGTAGAGTATAGCCGTGCGGCTATACTTTGCGGTTTGCGGTAACCGTGGTATTTGAATATCAAATACCGCAACCGCAACCGCAAATGCGGTTCGGTTCTTAATACCGCAAATGCGGTTCGGTTTACCGCGATTGCGGTTTTATTTCGGTAAATTATCGGTTGGTTTTTGCGGTTTTTCGGTTTTTCGGTCCAAAATGCCACCCCTATATTCACCAAACCTTTGGCTTCTCGTCAATTTCAAAGGCTTCTGTCCAAGCTTGGATCCATCAACCTTTTGGATCCAGCTTGAGGGGAAGTATTGGAAGTTGTCCAGCGGTTTATTAGTTTTTCTGTGTATTGTTGCCGTTCCCCAAGTGGATAATAGCCATCTTCACCTTTCTTGTGATTAGGAACTCTTTGTATAGAAGTCTATCCTTAGATGTCAACTCCTTAATTAACGGATGTCAACTCCTTAATTAAAGGGGCTGTTGTATACCTTCCCTAAGTCTCAGGTTGTGGAGTAAATCAAGGAAGGTCAAGGAGGGTTAGTCTCCTTTATATATATCTCTGTACAATTGTAATAATTTATGATTTGGAAATACAAAAACAACTCTTTGGAAATTCAATAAGAATCTATCATTACAGATATCTCTCTCACATTTATAGCCCGCGGGCTGCTGAGAGATACAAAAATAAACAACTAGAAGCCGGAATGTTTGGGAGAGTTGGAGCACAACCATGCCGAAGCAAAAAAGACAGAAACAATCAAAGATGCATTACGAATATTGATTGTGATGACAAGCTTAATTTGTATTGGAGAAATAGATAATCAAACCTAAGACCTTGGTTGCGGAGCTAAATACTTTTAACCACTTGATCTACAAGTACTTTGCATGTAACAAATATCTTAATTGATATTTACGACTCAAGACAGCTATGTACGCTCACTTTCTCAACTTATGAAGAACACATTTTTCGGAATTCGGAGAAAATTGCGATATTGATTATATTGTTATGCCTTTTTTAAATGTGTATAAATGCACTGATGCTAAATGTAGAGACTAGAAATCCTCTCATACACATACTACCAAGGTGCTATGGGGGTCCAAACCTGAAACCATTAATTTGCAAATTAAGTCCTTTTTCATTGAAGACCCGGTTGGCACTCAATTGCTTTCTAATACAGAGGTGATTGTTAATTTTTGTTTGCCTCTACGCTTGGTTTAAAAAAATAATAATATCATTTGTATTTTCTAGGATTAGTAGCAGAGATGTACATACCTAATATATCATACAAGAATTTTATAGTGAGAGCCTTATCGTTGGATCAAATTGGTTAGCCATTGAATGAAATTGGTTAGTTTAATCCAACAGTTAAGAGATAGGACCCTCAGCTAAAGACCAAGTAACCAAATAATAAGAATAAAAAATAATAATATCAGAATGGTTCTTCGCTTAATATTCTTTTTCTGCGAGGAGGCCAGTGGTGAAAAAAAAATTGAAGGTTCCAAGTTGTGAATATGATCGATGCATTTTATATTGGAAGAGTTAAAACTAACGCTTTAGGTGTAAAATTATTTAAATGTGGAGACGGCTTCGGCATATTTGGCTATAATAAGTGAACTCCCCCTTGCTCGTATGACAGCCGAATATAAGCTTTCTCAAGTCTTTATATAACACTTGGTTTATGAGTATTTTTCTGTAGTGCTTTTGTAGCGAGTATTTAAATCCATCATTTTATTAAATAATCAAATTTATTCTTAAATTTTATTAGAGTGCTGTTAAACGAACCTTAAAATTAACTGAGTACACCCTGCTATAAAAGTATTTATTGAATTACTAATTTACTCTAATATAAAATGACCAAAAAGGATATAAGGAATTGTGAAAGAAATATAATTTTAATAAATACACTCTACTCACCATATTCAACCCTAATCAAACGTAGATAAGTTTTCGTATAATTTTAAGGTCCTTTGATGGCTTCAAAGGCTTAGAGCTTTCAACACAGTGAAAGACAAGTGTTGACGTTTCTCAATGTACTTGATTCTTCCTGATGCAAAAGATAGGCAGCCATATTTGGATGGAAAAGTTTGTTCTAGTCTCACTCTTAGCTCAACATTATGCATACAATAAAGTTGAACTGGATGACTTTAAAATCCCAGGGTGTAAACTTTTCTTCTAACTTGGAAGCATCCAAAATTCTCAAGGATTTTGGATTGGTGATGATGCATTTCACTAGTAAATTGACAGTGATGTTTGAGTCTCCAACACATATTTCAAAGAAAATCACAAGTATTTACAAGAATCAAACTTTGAATGGAAGAAGCCAGCAAATCTACTCTCACAACAACTTACAAAATTAAAGATTTTGATGCAAACCCAAAATCTGAAAAGAGGGCACGAATTTATGTAAAAAGAGAAACTTGGTTTAGGATTGGTATTAGGGCATCGTGTGATAGAGTGTATTAGGGTGTACCATAAGTATTTTTGGTAGTTAAATAAGGTGCACTTAATTAATTTTACATTTTAATTAAAATATTAGAGTGTACTTAGATCATAAGGTGTACTTAGTTAATTTTAGAGTTTGTTTAGCAACACTCGTTTTATTAAAATAAGAAATTACTATATTTAAGGTCAAACTAAGAAACTTGAGTCAATGTGAGTGATCCAAATTCCTCAATTTAGAATTCTGGCATACAACTTTCAGTTTTATTGCAAGGTACTGACTTGAGCTTTGAAGGGTCTTGGCCAACACCACACCTATGCTCACTTACTTTCAAGGCTATCTTTTTTGTTTTCTAAGTCTTTCTGGGAATTTCCTAAGCCTTGCGAAATCGTATTCCAACAACATCCACGAACACCTCCACGGTTTTGCCGATTAACTCCTTGAATATTTTTCCCCATGTTGGAGGTTAGATCATTGCAATTTGCACCATCTCTCGACCCTTTTTCGTTTACTTTCCAAAAGACTGTCTTCACCAAGAAATAAACTAAATAAAAGACAATCCTTCCCCTCCCCTATTGATAAATAAATAAAAACTACAAAGAGGAGAGAAAAGAAAAGATTGTCTTAACAAGTTGATCTCAAGCGCATGTAAGATTTATTTCTCAAACCCCAACTAAAGATTTGTCTTCTTTTCCTTCTTCAACCATTCAACAGGTATATCCCGACGGATTCTAGTAATACAATACAATACTACCCTACATCAAAGACGCACTTTACAGATTGATGAATTTGCGAAAGATACACTTCATCAATGTCAGAAATGAATAGCTAGAGCTGCCCCACCAAGCTCACTGCATATCATATAAAAGAATTATCAAGGAGCCCAGGCATTCTCAATCATGACTTAAAGCTAGTAGTCATCCTTGATAGTTGGATCATCCTCCCTTTTACGTTTCGTGGCAATCTTACGTCTACCCTTCTTTGAGTCTCCAACCAAATCCATCAGACTTTTATGTGCTGCGTTCTTGATATCATCAAGTGACTTCCTATCTCGGGAATCCATTCGATCTGCGGGAAATGAATCAGCTATATCTGCAATTTCTCTCATAGCAGCAACCTGTAAAAAAGTGTAGTCGCATATACTTCAAATTTATTTTTAATAACTGACAGTGAAAACTTCAATTGACCAATTAAGCATAGGCTTACTATTCTCTGAAACTCGGATTCTAAAGATTCAGGCCTCCCAACAAATTTTCGAGTAATTCTCTCATACCACTCCATGTACTTGATTTCATCCACAACTTCCTCCACTTGTACAATCCGAAGTCGACGCTCCAACCATTCCCTAAGCTCTGCTTGATTTTTTCCTTTAAGCTGCAACTCTGCTTCCTTTGACAAGTCTGAACCCTGATCAAGTGCACGAATCTTCCTCTCCCATCGCGGAACATCCAGTGGGACTGGTTGAAGCACGCCAAACTGCCTGAGGCAACGATCAGGGAGGTGTCTCTCAGCCTTGTCAAAACATATTAGCACAGTTTTTGAGGCCCGTAAAATCAAACTCTCTTTTATATCTCCCACTGAAGAAGAAGAGTCCAAATCTTTGTATGGGAGCCACTTAACCTGTATGTCAATACCACACGAATTACTATTATCATTTTCTGATCAATATATGATCATATAAATCGAGCAAAGATCTAAATGACCCACATCTGAATGTTGAAGGGAATCTAAGGCTTTGCGGTAGGAAACTATATTACTGTTTGATCTTGGTCCACTTGCTCTTCCTTTCCACCGAAGTGCAAATGGAAAGCAACCATCGTTTGGTTCGTCATTGAACTTCGGATTTCCAACATTAAGGCGATAATAACTCCAACACTAAAAAATAAGAATCAGAGTCACACTTTAAGTGAAGGCTATTGATATAAAGAAATGCCAGCAGCCCACTGCTACCACCGGATGATGAAAAAAAGGCAAAAATGCATACCTGCAGTAGTGTCAAAGAACCACTTATAGTGCTTTGAGATTTAAGGGAGGCATTACCAAGAGCTCTGTAGAGGAATGCCAAAGCTGCAGCACCCCATGCAAACTTTCCAGCTTCATCGAACTTTTCAAACAATGGAAGATACATTACAGAGACTTTGTTTCCAGTTGTTGTGGAAAATATTGTACAACCAACGAGGTATAGGAGATAAGCACGCGTATGCCGCTCAATCTCTTCAACTGGTGCATCTTCAGGACATTTAGAAAAGCACTCTTTCAACCAAGTTAGCTTCACCATTCCACCATTTAGGTCTTCCGGCACTTTCCCTAGTAAATTTTCGCATACTTTTCCGGGTGTCCTTGTTACACCCATAACTGGTTTTCCATCAATTGGTAGCCCAAGTAACAGTGCAACATCTTCAAGTGTTATGGTCATTTCTCCAACAGGCAAATGAAACGTATTTGTTTCTCTCCTCCACCTCTCAACTAGTGCCGAGATAAGTGAATTGTCAAGGCTAATCGTGGGAATTGTTCTGAAGTACCCAAAACCAGCTTTCTCAACCAATTCAATTTGTTTAGCTGTGAGCTTCCATTGTTCAAGCATTGAACTGTGTTCATGGCATCTAAGCACACCACGTTCCTGTAAAGTTCTAGTGGAATCGTTACACACAGAATTATTCAAACCATCGATATGATTTTAACAAATACAAGTAAAAAAATGAAATTAAGGATAAAAGCTTTTTGTCTAACCTGTCCATCCCAGATTGCTGAAGAAATATGGTTATCTTGATCGTACAGTACAGAAATATCGATTGGTCCGGGATCTGCAGTTGACCCCATCGTAGCCACTAACAAAAGAAATTTTAAATTAACACAGAAAAGAGATTACATTTTGAAACTAGCTCCATAAGTTCCCTAAACAATAATATATTTAAGAGGGTTTAATCATGTACTTATCCATAACTATCAACTGCAGTAACTTCAAATTATATATCTGCAACTCAGTTCAAGGTTGACTTTGGGGGCATGAGGTAAAGTTCCTCTCCTGAGGTTCTCCTTTTTTTGTTAATTTCAAGTATTACCAAATAAAAATTATTCCGTTGATACTTCTCTTCCCAATGTTGGAAAATGTCTTAAGTTCGAATCTCCCCGTCCCGTTGATAAAAAACAATTACTCAAAACACACCCATAACACAGACAAAGAAAGTATTTATCAACATTAAATTAGGATCATTCTCTCACACATCCTTCAATCAAATAAGTTAAATGAGTACCTTTTTTTCTTCAAAAGCAGAAAACTTTAGAACAAATTTCGTTTTTGAACAGTGTGGTTCTTCCAAAACCGAAACAACAAAGACTTTCACGAAAGAAAATAAAAACAGAATAGTTCCTACGGCTAATTTGACAAAATTAACCCAAAAAGCCACGCCTTTATAAACTAAGCCATGCCTTCGACTGAATTACAAATTAAAACAGCTAATTTCACAAAATTAACCCAAAAGGCCAATGAATTTATAAGGAAACCCTAAAAACAGGAATTGAATTAAAAGCTTCAATACTATACTGACCTGAAATAGGTTTTGGACAGTACGAGATGCTTACGACCTTGAAGACGACGGAGAAGCCAAAAACGACGATAGTTCAGGTGTCGTGCGTTCTTGTTCAGCTAACTTCAAAAGGAATCAGAATCTACGAGATAGATATCAAAGTCGTTCGTCTTTTGGCGATGGCCTGAGCGTTAGAGGAACGGCGTCGTATTTGGATATGGATAGATAACGACAACATAATACCGAGTTCTGTTTTCGTTAATGGCCAACGGCAAAGAGAAAAGCGTCGGTGGGTGTTTCTGTCTGTGCTTAAAGATGAAAAACGACTGCAACTTATAATTTACACGACATTGGCATTCAGGTCAATCCTTTGACCGTGTATTTTTTTATCGCTTGAAACTCTCATCATTATCTGCATATGGGACTTGCAAAAACTCCATATAAGGTTTCGGGAAAATAATAAATCAAAAATAAAACAGGGAAAGTAAAAACGGAAACTTTTAATTCAGCCCAAGGAGTATTTATAAAGTTGTTCAAAAAATTTAGTATTTTGTCAATAATACCCTTATTCATTTTTAGATTGTTTAAGAAGTTCTTTTCTGCTTTTCTTAAGATGCCAAAAGTCTCGCTTCTTGTTGGCCATATGGAGTCAGAAACTTGGATCACTTCTTGCTTTTTTGGATTGTTGCTAGGATGATTTCTTCACGTGAAATGAGGTTGATATGCTTCTGCTATCATGAGGTCTTCATATGGAGTTATGGCTTCATTATGTTTCCATCATGTTGTCTATATTGTGTAGCTCTTCTTCTCTTAAGCTATTCCAATATGAGTTGTCATTATCTTCTGCTTCAATCTGATCTGCTAACTGGTTGTAGATTTCATCGAAAACTTGTGCTCATGTTTTGCTTATCTTGAATTCATATGTCTCATCTGGTCTCATGGATGTAGTCTCGGAATAGATCTTGATAAAATTGGATTGGTAAATGAGGTTCAGTGATCATCATTAAACAATTGTTGCTCAGCTATTGTTGCGCCTCTGTATTTTTGAACATCTTGCTTGGTAGAGATTGTTGTATATATGGATTCTGCCAAACTAAGCAGTTCATTATGAGAAATAATAATACTATATTGTGCTCTATCTGGGTAAATACTATCTATAAACCACTTTGAAGGTATGCTTTTTTTGAGAAATGGAATTCATTCATAGAATCAAAGTAGCTTACGCAAAACGACTCAAAATAATGGCCTCTTTTAAAACCTTCTTGAGGGACAAACCTCAGGGTAAGAAAGAGTACCACACATGTCATAGATTAACAAGAGAGTCTGAAATAGTCATGCAGGACCAATGCTAGAGCAAGATAAAATAAAACAGCAAACTGACACATAGACCTTCTACGCAAAGACCTCTGAGGATAACCACTACAACACAATCCAACTGTCAAAAGAGTCCTGCTATGAAATCATAGTCCTTTGCGCAAGATAATGAGAACATCCTATATGGAACACAATACACCAAGAAGAAAGAAAACAACCTCTAAGCACACCAGCTCCAGCCACCTCCAATAGCGATTGGCAATGAAAGAAGAGAAATCTGCAAGGAGCAACACAAAGAAGAGACTAACCACATACAGGCTAGGAAAGAAAATAAATAAAAAAGCCCCAAAACACGCCGTATCATCTCAACACTAATAAAGAAACCTCATATGAAAATGTAGTCCTTGAGACATGCGGAGAACCAAAGATCAGTTAAGGGGAGAACGAAGAAAACACCACACAACAATAACAAAACTAGCCTGAGCACTTAACCTGAACACGGGGATCAGGCGTAAGAGCATTCACAGGATGCCAAGCTCAGGAATGCTCCAAGAACGCATATTAAGGAAGGCGTCCAAGATACTCCGCTGGGCCAAAGAACACATAGAAGAAATAAGCAAGCGTTTCACGACCACATATATCATCAAATTTACAGACATGCTCCTGCCAGCAAACTATCTTTCGTTCCACAGCAAAAAAGTACCACAAGGCTCTGAATAGCCGAAGGATCAACGAGCATATAGTCAATAATCAATAGTTCATCGAAAATTTGAAAAGTACGAAATAATTCCTAAAAAAAAAGGATCTGATATATTAGGGAAAGGATAGTAATTAACAATTAATTTAAATAAACAAAAATTAAGTAAAATTCACTCATATTTTTCTACCACTATTTCTGTTCTTTTCTTTCTCTAATCTTTGGATCATTTAGATCTGGGCATAATCTATGAGGTCACTGAGCTCAATCGAAACTAACTTGAAGCTCTGTGAAGGTTGTCGATGTTAGCATCTGAGTAGAGAAATCGATTGATTTAGACCAAAAGATGTCTAGATCTGGAGGCTCGGAGGCTCGTACCCCAATTTTCTCCGGTGAAAACTACAAGTTCTGGAGGATTAAGACGGTAACAATCTTCAAATCTCTTGGGCTATAGAGTCTGGTAGAAAAGGGGATCCCAACCCCTGATTCAAAAAAGAAGAAGAAAGCTGAAAAGTCATCGGAACAAGAAGCCGATGCATAGGTGATCGCCGTGCTCATGAAGGACGAGAAGGCTCTGGGCATTATACAAAACGCAATTTCTGACCATATCTTTCCTCGGATTGCCAACGCCAACTCAGCCAAAATGGCATGGAATCTGCTCTATAGTGAATATCAATATCACGGTGGTGACCAAGTTAGGTTAGTAAAATTCCAAAATCTCAGACAAGAATTTGAATGCATGAGAATGAACCCCTAACTGCATATCTCATTCGTTTGAATGAATTGATAAATCAAATGAAAACATTTGGAGAAGTGCTATCTAATGAGAGGCTGGTTCAGAAAGTGTTAATCAGTCTTAGTAAAGTGTATGACCCTATCTGTTTGGTGATTGAAAATACAAAGAGCTTGGAGACTATAGAATTGCAGGAGGTCATTGCAATATTGAAGAGCCAAGAGCAACGTTTTGAGATGCAGAATGTGGACTCAGCTGAGAAGGTATTTGCCTCCTTCTCAGTAAATACAAAAAATCAGAACAAGAATAGTACTCAAACTGATCCTGCTAAGTCTCAGAAACATTGGCAGTCTAAAAACAAGCCATGGGATTCTAAACCTAAGCAACAACAGACTGATGCTGCACAGAACTCAAATGGGTCACAATTCATGCATCAAGAAGGAGTGAAACCTCAATGCAAAGTATGCTCTAAGTTCCATTTTGGAGAATGTAGATATAAGGGACAAACTAAGTGCTACAAGTGTGAAAGATTTGGGCATTGGGCTAGGGAGTGCACTACAAACAAAGGTGTGCAGAAAGCAAATAATGCAAGTAAAATGGAAGTAGGAGGAAACTTGTTCTTTGCAAGCAGTGCAATTTTAGAAAAGAGTGCAAACGAAGAATGGTATGTGGATAGTGGTTGCAACAACCATATGACTGGGAACAAGAAGTTGCAAATTGATATAAACACAAATGTGGCAGGCAAGGTGCAAATGCCAACAGGAGAGCTTGTAAGCATAATTGGTATGGGTACTTTAGTACTTAACACAAGCATTGGTACAAAGTATATTAGAGAAGTCATGTATTTACCTGGTTTGAAAGAAAATTTGTTGAGTGTGGGTCAAATGGATGAACATGGTTATCATTTGGCGTTTGGAAGTAGCATGTGCAGTATTTTTTATGATTCTTCACTGGAGAATCTTACCATGAAGGTGGCAATGAGAAAGAATAGATGCTATCCATTGTCACTGTCTTCAAATGACTTTATTGCACTAAGAGCTGGTGTGTCTCACTCTACCTGAATTTGGCACAAAAGAATGGGGCATTTACATTTAAAATGGCTAAACTAGCTCAAGGAAAAGGAGATTGTGCATGGTCTACCACATCTAGAAGCTGTAATGGAGTCTGTGAAGGCTGTCAATTTTGAAAACAACATAGAGAACGGTTTCCAAAGAACCAAGCATGGAGGGCAAGTACTCCTCTTGAGTTAATACACATGGACTTGTGTGGGCCTATGCAAAACGAGTCTCTTGCAGGTAACAAATACTTCATGCTTTTCATAGATGACTGCACAAGAATGATTTGGGTCTATTTCCTTAGATATAAGTATGATACACTAAACTGTTTTAGAAAGTTTAAGTCTATGGTAGAGCTGCAGAGTGGTTTTAAAGTGAAATGTGTAAGAACTGATAAAGAAGGAGAGTTCACATCTAGTGAATTCGATAAGCTGTGTGAAGAGGAAGGTATTCAAAGGCAGTTTTCTATGGCATATACTCCACAACATAATGGAGTGGTAGAAAGGAAGAATAGGACAGTGGTAGAAATGGCAAAGGCTATGCTACTTGAGAAGGAGCTACCCTACTATCTGTGGGCAGAAGCTGTACACACTACTGTGTACATATTGAATAGATGTCCTACTAAGGCCCTCATAAAAAAAACTCCTTTTGAAGCTTATAGTACAAGGAAACCAGGTGTTGCTCATTTAAAAGTGTCTAGCAGTGTTTGTTTTGTACATAAACCAGCTAAAGGGAGACAGAAACTGGATGCCAAGAGCATAAAGGGAGTGTTTGTTGGATCTGCGACTTGTGAAAAGGGTTATAGAGTTTTTGACCCTAACACTAGGAAGCTCTTATTGTCTAGAGATGTTGTATTTGATGAAGGAGCAACCTGGAATTGGAAGGAAGTAGCTGAGAATCAAGTGCAAGTGATGAACTATGAAGAGCAGCCTAGGAAATCTGAAGCAACACCATTTGAAACACCTGTAGGAAATCAGAGTCATGGTTTCATGTCAGGAGAAAATGTTTCACAAGGAGAATCAAGTAAAATAAGCAGCAGGGTAGAAGACACTCAAAATTTTGATCACACTTCATTGAAATGGAGAAAGTTGGATGATGTTTTAGCATAATGCAATCTATGCATTATGGAGCTTGAGAAATTTGATGAAGCTGTGAAGGATGAGTCATGGGTAAAGGCAATGAAGGATCTGTTGTCAATGATAGAGAAGAACGCTACATGGGAGCTTGTTGACAGACGTATGAAAAAACCAGTAATTTGAGTTAAATGAGTGTTTAAAACCAAGTTAAACGTGGATGGTTCATTGCATAAGAATAAGGCAAGGTTAGTGGCTAAGGTTAGGGGCTAAAGGATACTCTCAAAAACCTGGGGTGGACTACAATGAAACATTTGCACCAGTGGCTAGATTAGACACAATCCGAACTCTAATTGCACTAGCAGCACAGAAGAGTTGGAAGCTATACCAATTAGATGTTAAGTCAGCCTTCCTAAATGGTATCTTAGAAGAAGAAGTGTATGTAGATCAACTAGAGGGATTTGTGGTGAAGGGGAGTGAAAACAAGGTTTATAAGCTGCACAGAGCTCTATATGGCTTGAAACAAGCGCCAAGAGCTTGGTATATCGAAATTGATAGCTATTTTGCTGAGTGTGGTTTCACAAAGAGTCAAAGTGAGGCTACTCTTTATGTCAAGACTAGAGGTGAAGCGAGCATCTTAATAGTGTCTATCTATGTAGATGCCAATCTACACTGGGAATAATCAAGCAATGTTAGAAGAATTCAAGCAAGACATGATGGAGAAATATGAAATGACAGATTTGGGACTCTTGCACCATTTCTTAGGGATGAGAGTAATCCAAACACCAACAAGCATCTTCCTTCATCAAAGGAAGTATGCATCAACCCTGTTAAGCAGATTCAGCTTGAGTGAGTGTAAACCTGTGTCTATTCCACTTGTTCCAACTGATAAATTGAGTAAGGATGACGAGAGTGGCTCAACAAATGCGGAGCAATATAGGAAGATTTTTGGTAGTCTATTGTACCTCACAGCTACAAGACCTGACATTATGTTTGTAGCTAGCTTGCTTGCAAGGTTTATGCACTGCCCCACCAACAAGCATCTTGGAGTAGCAAAACGAGTTCTTAGATATGTGAAAGGAACACTTGACTACGGTCTGGAGTATGTGAAGGGAAAAGAGGCAGTTCTAATTTGCTATTGTGACAGTGATTGGAGTGGTTCAGTGGATGATAGCAAGAGCACTTCTGGATATGCCTTTTCTTTTGGCAATGGAGTGTTTACTTGGGCCTCAGTCAAATACACTTGCATTGCACTCTCTATTGCAGAAGCAGAATACATTAGTGCCTCTGAAGCAACAACACAAGCTATTTGGTTGAGGTTTGTATTGGAAGACTTTGGAGAATTTCAAACAGAGGCCACACCACTACGCTGTGATAACATCTCAGCTATTACCATTACAAAGAACCCTGTGTTCCATCAGAAAACCAAGCATATTGATCGGAGGTACCATTTTATCAAAGATGCTTTGCAAGAAGGAATTGTGGATTTGATCTATTGTCCTACAAATGAACAGTTTGCAGACATTTTTACAAAGGCTTTGGCCAAAGATCGTTTCTGCTATCTTAGAGAGAAGCTTGGTGTGAAATTAGCTCACAACTTAAAGGGGAGTGTTGAAATATAAGTAGTGAGAGTGAGCTGATAGAAAATGTAATTAAGCCTATTTAGCTAATGGTGTATTCACTTAGTTTCTAAAAATGACAGGTGTTAGGCTTGAGTAGTGAAAGGCTGTACAAGCCACGTGTAATGATTTTAGAGAGCAGTTTTAGATAAAGGGTTGTGATACAAAGTGATGTAATAGTATCCAGCTGTTCTCTCTAACGGTAATATAGCTCACGCAGAGCTTGCTCTTTTTTTTTAGAGCATTGGAATGAAAAGCTTCTGACGTTTTCTGATTCACTCTGCATTTTCTTTGCTCTTCACTATTCTTCACAAAACTCTAGCAAAGGTTTGGTCCAAATAGTAGCATGTGCTATCATCAATGATGACGGGAACGTAGCAGCTCAAGGGATCAACAAACACAGCAAATGCAGATGATACCGTCATAGCAAAAATGTCCACATCAAGGTTTGGTCCCAATAGTAGCATGTGCTAACATCGATGATGACGGGAACGTAGCAGCTCAAGGGATCAACAAACACAGCAAATGCAGCACTACTTACACAACAAACATCGATACTGTAAATATGATTTGGAAGGAATATTTTTGGCTGATATTGATGATCATATGGTGCGTTAACAACTTCCTGCACATTTGGCCATTTTGCTGCAGCACTACTTATACTTCTGTGTCCTCCATCTTCTTTGAGCTTGGAAGATTCCCCTTCGTCTAAAATAATATTTCCATCTAGATTACTGAACAACACACAACAAATTAACAAATATATAATTGCGTCCAAGAGAAAGAAAAATTAAGTACATATGCACTTCTAACATGTATATATAAGGATGAATATAATATACTTAATTTTAACATTCATGCATATTTTTCGTCATGTATGTATATGTTCTTCATTTTTAGCTTTTGACTAGGTAGATTATATGTAAATTAATTATACAAATTTATAAAAAAACCCAATCCTAGGCATGTATTTATAAAAAAACCCAAGCACTATTTAAACATAGAAACACACCCAAAACCCATCATAACAAACACTCAAAACTCATTTATAAACACACCCAAAAAGTTGACTTTGAGGTTGATTTTGGGTGTGTTTCTATGTTTAAATAGTGCTTGGGTTTTTTTATAAATACATGCCTAGGATTGGGTTTTTTTATAAATTTGTATATTTTTTAACGAGGTGCATTATATAAATAAAAAATAAAGTGTTTTTAATTGTATAAAAAAAAAACTAAAGCATTTTTAATTTGTTTCTCTTATTTAATTACCTTCAAAGGCAAAATAATCACAAAAACTAAGTAATAAATGAAAATTGGGTTTTTATTCAATAACTATAATAGCCTAGTGGTATTGTGTGGAAAAAAAAGTTTAATTGGTCATGAGGTCAATGCTCCTTGGTGTCATTTTGTGGAGAATTTTTTGTTGTTTTAAAGAATTGAGTAAAAACAAACCATTAAATCACACAAGTGGGAATCAAACCAGCACCCTAACAAGTATAAAAGGGTTACAAAACCAACTAAGTTAGGTACATAATTATATGAATATTTTTGTTCTCGCGTATATATAATATATACATTATATATATTTTGAGAAAATTCGGAGGCCCACATGCATACACTCAAGGCCACCTTTGCTTTAGGCTTTAGGGTTTTAAAGTTAAGGGAAAGTCAACCATCTTGATTTTAAAAATAAAAAATAAAAAGCCAGTGTTGAGGCCCATAGTTGGGCCCGAATAAATTCTCAGTCCAGTACGACACCTAACTTGGGAAGAAACCCAATTTGGGTACACAAGAGTTCATCATATACGCTTACACACGTGTCACGCCAAGCAAATAAACAACACACCACACTATAAGCTTAAGTGGCCCCAAGCCACGCGAATGCCTGGGGCTTGCTGAGCGGGCTGTGATATGGATGGTTACGAGTTTTCATGAGGCCCATTGATAACCCGAGAAATGGAAGTTTTGGGCTGCTTGGGAGCCCCGAAACTCAAGCTCATTTCTTGAGCCCAAATATGTGGGTAAGCATAAAGGAGAAAAAATAGCCCATTACCTTAGAAAAGATAGTCCATCACTTTGGGAAGTTGACCCATCCCTTTAGTGAACTAGCCCATCACCTTGGAAAGGTCCAAGCAACCAAGGAAAATATCTACAGCTTCCAGCACTTAACTGGAGATAAGACCACAACCAAAGCTAAAGGCCACTCACATCTGCAGGCTGCTGGGAATCTCCAGCACATGGCCAAAGACAAATCCCAACACAAGCCATCCAAAAAAACCAAATGATACTTGAGCAAAACACCCTTCAAACCAGTG